AGTAGGTTTTTCTAATGGACCTTTGACCATTACCTTTATATCCACGTAATTTAATAAGGCGTAGAAAAAAAACCATAACAATGAAGCAATAAAGACTTTAAAATTTATAATCCATAATAATACAGCAGATAAAAAAACATTTCCTCTGTTATTATTCTCTAACGGCTTTGTTAGTCCCAGAAAAAAGGTCTTCAAATACGAAGTTTCGGTAAAAACTTAAATTTTTAATACAAATTACTTTGAAAGATCTAAAAAAATTGTAAAATATTTTATTTTTACGCGTTTTATTTTTTTTAAGAAGTTGTAGTTATTTCCGGTGAAACAGGAAGTAACCGAAAACAATTATTGAATACGTCAATCAATCTTAATTTATATCTGAAAAAATAGAAAAGTTATAGGGCTATTGGCTATTATAGGGTTATAGCTCTTGGCTATTTTTTTGTAGGGTTAAGTTATTTTCAACTTTTCATCGATTTAAAATTTTCTATTCCTACTAAGAACTGGATAGATGTTACTGTTATTTCTTACCTAATCTTTAATAATGGCAACTTTACTATGTTACTAAAATACAGATGAATCAAAAGAAATAATTAATTATATTAATTAATTTAAGTTAATTATATTCCACGTTTACAACTGAATGAAAAATAACATTGCTCTGTGTCAAAATGGTATATGAAAATATTACATTTCCTACTATGTTACTAAAATATAGAAGAATCAAAAGAAATCATTAATTATCTTAATTAATTTCAGTTAATTATATTCTACATTTACAACTGAATGACAAATAACATTGCTCTTTGTCGAAATGGTTAATGAAAATATTACATTTCCTACTATGTTACTAAAATACAGAAGAATCAAAAGAAATAATTAATTATCTTAATTAATTTAACTTAATTATATTCCACATTTACAATTGAATGAAAAATAGCATTGCTCTTTGTCGAAATGGCTTATGAATATATTAAGTTTCCTACTACGTTACTAAAATACAGAAGAATCAAAAGAAATCATTAATTATCTTATTTAATTTAAGTTATTATATTCCACATTTACAACTGAATAAAAAATAAAATTGCTCTTTGTCGAAATGGTTTATGAAAATATTACATTTCCTGCTATATTACTAAAATACTGAAGAATCAAAAGAAATAATTATATTAATTAATTTAAGTTAATTATATTCCACATTTACAACTGAATGAAAAATAACATTGATCTTTGTCGAAATGGTTTATGAAAATATTACATTTCCTACTATGTTACTAAAATATAGAAGAATCAAAAGAAATCATTAATTATCTTAATTAATTTCAGTTAATTATATTCCACATTTACAACTGAATGAAAAATAAAATTTCTCTTTGTCGAAATGGTTTACGAAAATATTACATTTCCTACTATGTTACTAAAATACAGAAGAATCAAAATAAATAATTAATTATCTTAATTAATTTAAGTTAATTATATTCCACATTTACAACTGAATGAAAAATAGCATTGCTCTTTGTCGAAATGGCTTATGAATATATTAAGTTTCCTACTATGTTACTAAAATACAGAAGAATCAAAAGAAATTATTAATAATTATCTTAATTAATTTCAGTTAATTATATTCCACATTTGCAACTGAATGACAAATAATATTGCTCTTTGTCGAAATGGTTTATGAAAATATTACATTTCCTACTATGTTACTAAAATATAGAAGAATCAAAAGAAATCATTAATTATCTTAATTAATTTCAGTTAATTATATTCCACATTTACCACTGAATGAGAAATAACATTGCTCTTTGTCGAAATGGTTTATAAAAATATTATATTTCCTACTATGTTACTAAAATTTAGAAGAATCAAAAGAAATAATTAGTTATCTTAATTAATTTCAGTTAATTATATTCCACATTTACAACCGAATGAAAAACAGCATTGCTCTTTGTCGAAATGGTTTATGAAAATATTATATTTCCTACTATGTTACTAAAATACAGAAGAATCAAAATAAATAATTAATTATCTTAATTAATTTAAGTTAATTATATTCCACATTTACAACTGAATGAAAAATAGCATTGCTCTTTGTCGAAATGGCTTATGAATATATTAAGTTTCCTACTATGTTACTAAAATACAGAAGAATCAAAAGAAATTATTAATAATTATCTTAATTAATTTCAGTTAATTATATTCCACATTTACAACTGAATGACAAATAATATTGCTCTTTGTCGAAATGGTTTATAAAAACATTACATTTTCCGCTGTAATAAACGCCAGTCGAGTAGATTTCAGATATGCCGGCCATATCCGAATAAGCGAGATATAAAAGAGAAATGTAGCTCATAAATGCGCATAATAAGGAAGAGCCGAACGTTTTACCGGGTCATTTGGCCCTTTAAGAACGCGTAACTTCCGAATTTTGAAACAAAATATCAAAAGCGACATAATAAAGGCGCTCTGGCGGAGATATCGAATAACGTTTCCTCGGTTTAACGGCTTTTTCTCACTCTGCGGGACGTCGAGGAGTCCCAGTTTTCCTCTGTAATGTCCTTTGAATAAGAAGACTAAGGAAGGAGCATATCAAAAATCTTAGGTCCACCGCGATAGGACGCAAATATGGCCGACTTAAATTCCGGTTTATCAATGCCGTTCTAATTTAATTTAAAAAATCTAAAACTATTTAGATTTCAACTCTTGCAAAGACCCGCCGATAGAACTTGCCTTTTATTTTACGTTGTGAATAAACGTTGGTAGTTATTACAATTGTTATAAAAACATATTATTATAATAAAAATAGATAATTTTTAATAATTATTTATTAACACAAACATCCGATACGCTACTGAAGCAGGTAAGTGAAATTGACGTATCTAAATTCTTTGACAAAGAATATACCTAGCTAGAAAAAGAATGGACTCTGCCATACTGAAAAATGGTCCTACAGAAGTGTCGCCATCTATTGAGTAGGGCTTGTTTTAAATGGATCGAAGCGCGGACTTTTTAAATGAAAGGATTTATTGACTTTTACTCTAAAATAATTAAATTTGATTGTTAAATCTTATTTTTGACACAAATTCAACAATACTAATAACAAGTATCGTTGTGATGTGTAAAAAATAAGATTTAACAGTATAATTTATACAATTATATATTTATTATTTAAAGTTTTTATTTTATAAGTCAAATATTTAAACATCGTTTATTATAATAAAACAAGACCAACGTAATACGCCCAAAGTTTTGTAAATGGAGTAAATATAAATAGGTACTTAAATGATGGCAAAAATAAAAGACTTACATTATATTTTTAGAGCCACAAACAAAAGGAATTGTCTATTAAAAACACATATAACAAATTATAGTTTGAAAAACTTTTTGATAATCATTTTTGATAATATTATGATTGGTGCTATGACAACGACAATATTTTTTGAGAATTTGACAATAGTATGACAACGGCAGTTGGAATCTATGGAAACTACAAAAAAAAATCTGATTGAGCGCCATCTGGCAATAACTAATAGCAACTTCTTAACCTAAAAATTAAATTGCACTACCACCTAGCGCCCCAGGCTGGAACTATTTTATTTGAAATTTCCGTGGAAACGGTGGAACCGCTTTTGCTATTTCACTTTCCGGCCCCTGTTCTTTGACATCTAATCTTTGACAAGTAGTAAATAAAAGCAAAAATGCAAGAATAAATATATAATTAGTTAATTTAAGTGAATATCATAAAAGATCGGTTTACTACACGTATGTATATTATATAGTCACTTACTTTTGAAAAGTTGTTCCATTATTTCACTCGATTTTTGCCGAGATCTACCGCACGCTACACAACCAACTATTTTAGAGTCTTTTTCGATAAATCCCGATGTCACTGTTAATTTAAGTTCTGCCACAATTTCCATCTAGATTTACTACCTTTATACAACTATCAGTAGTAGAATAAATAATAAATAACACAAAATAAGCTCCGTAAAGACTGACAAATCCACAAAATTTCAAATCTAATTCAAATGTGTCAAATGAATCGTCAAAGAGAACTGTCAAGGATCCCCACCCTAGAGTCCTTTTTCCACCCACCATGCATGAATACATGGATAGCATTATGCTCCTTCCTTAGTCTTCTTATTCAAAGGTAATGTCAAGTTTGGGTTTGCCAGAGTAACAGGGGGAACGGGGGTGGAAAAGTACGATTGGTGCCAACTGTGATCACCGTCCACTTCTTTTGTTTTACTTTCTTTAGATTATTCTCTAATTACACAAGGAATATTTTCACACAGCTATCGCACTCTAGATTGAATTAAGCGAAAATGTCAAAAGCTGACATATGATATGTCAATCTATTCAGAGTGTCTGTGTTTCTATCGAATAAAATTAAAAAAAATAGTACCGAGGATGTCATTTAAAAAGCAAAAGTTGTAGTCATTTCCGGTGAAACAGGAAATGGTCGCAAATAATTGAATACGTCTATCAATCCTAATTTATGTCATACACTAACATACCAAATCTCGTCTTTTATCTGAAAAAATAAAAAAGTTATAAGGTGACCACTTGGTCACGGACCGTGACCACTAAGTAGTGATTTCATTCTAATTCTTTAATTAGTCTCTAAAGTCGCTTTAGTCTAAAGGTGGCTTTAAAATGCCAGTTTTATTAATTTTCTTCTTAATATTAAGTCCAAAAACGCACTGAGCGACTAATAAGCCTGGCATAATTTATCTGTAATATTTTGCCAGCCATTATCTGGGGTATTAACACAAGAAAATAGCCAACATCGCGTTATTTCTGTCGCTCACATGGGATTCTCGTAAGATTTCTCTTTGTGCCTATTTCGAAACGACACAAAATACATCGCATACATTTGAACTTATAATTATGAATTGCATTTTCAGTTCAATCTAATTTAATTGAAGTGTTACTTTTCTTTTACTTGAATTTAATCGTTCCAATTTTCTAAAAATGTAGCCTAGTTTTAAAGAACTTACCTTTCCAACACTTTTTTGACTGATAGTCTTTGACTTCAGTCTCTGAAGATGATTGGGCAGTTCCGGCTTCTTAGAAGCATCCACTGCTTGCCTACTATCTTCACTCTTCTTATTAACTACTTTCGAAGTTTCTACCGAATTCTTTCCACTCTGTGCTTCAAATCTTCTCATCTTTTCCGCCTCTATTTCCCTAGCTATAAGCTGCCTATTAGAATAAGACGGCAATTTTCTTCTGTTATTCGATATATCAAAAACAACCAAATCTTCGATATTTGGCTCTAAAATTTAAAAATAGATTTAAAAGAGTTCTTTTTCTTGAAAAATATAATACCATTTACCCAAGTTATACTCGTAAGCTCCGTCAGGTTTTCGTTGTTGAATATAATTTAAATTGTAGTCAGCCATAATACTAGCCACCCGTAGTAGACTATTCTTTTCCTCTTCGCTGTACAAATGAAGGCTCACTGGACGCAAAGGTGGTGATATAACTCGAATGATCTGTGGTAAGCTGTCCAATAGCAAGGGAATTGCAGAGTTGTAGGAACGGACTAATGGAGACATGCCACGGAGGACTTCGGCTACGATGGCTTTTTGACGAAGTGCCTTTGCCTTAGCCTGAAAAAAAATACGCCAGTATAAAAATAAGACTATTCATAAATTGATATACTAGAAGTCAACAATTAAGAATATACAGGGTGGTGGCAATTTCGATGCTCAACATTGCCATCTCAGAAACTACGAGAGATACGAATTCAGTTAAATGGGACAAACGTTGCATAATTAGATGTTTGACAAACACCTATGAAGAAAACCGCGGTATCTTGATTAGTTTCGGATTTATACCAAAAAATGAAAATAGTACATTTATTTTAAATGACAATATCTTCAGAGCTATTGTATCTATTGCAACGTAAGTTGGTAGTTTTATATTTTTGACCTCGGCCAATTAAATGCCGTTTTCAGAAAATTTCTAAGCCTTCTAGATTTCGCACAACAGTCAAGTTTTTGTATTCTTATGGCCGTCATTTTGAATTTTTATAGTATTAGCACAGATTAGGTATCCTATAAGTATACAGATAAAAATCTTGTTCCTAATTGGTGGTACGGAAATTGTTTTTTATGCCGATGTGCAAACGAGTAAAATTTCCTGTGCGCAAAAATAAACTCGCGAAAATAACAATAAACAGCGTAATAGAGAGATATCGCTAAACCGAATAGCGTGTATGGACGTTAATAAGGCCAGGTGTTATTTCCTTTACGTGAGGTGGTATTAACTCTCTTCATTTATAGTTATTTAAACTTAACCTGACTTTGAATTTAAAACTTTGAAATTGTTTTGTTTACTAGGTATTTTAAAACTAAAGGGCTAAAATGCTTATTTCCAGTGCTTTATTGTTCAACGTCTACCAGTGGGTTTAGGGCAACAAGCAACAAATTCTCTTAGAAGGGCTAAAGCTTGATTTTCATGCACCCGTTGTCCGACGATACGATGATACGATAATAATTTTATTGGTTGAATTTAAAGGCTTCGGTTGGTTAACCGTTTCTAACTAATCGAAGTCTTTAAATTCAACCAATAAAGTTAATATCGTATCATCGTATCGTCGGATAACGGATACATGAAAATCAAGCTTAAGTCGTCATCTGCTATAAACCTAAGCCTCTTTATAGGTTCTTTAATATTGGAAGAGGTGGAATCCATATTTTGGGCCATATTTATTTAATTAAAACTAATCCCAGCTACTTAAATATCAAATTACCTAATAAAACTAAAGTAATAATTCAAAACAATTCAAACATAACCTAAAATAAAAGATTTCGCCGGCCGGCCCCTGTTGTCAATACCCGCACATGCCCATTTAAGCAATTTTTAAACGTTATTTAGAAATAGCGCTTGGTGTATTTGATCCGCAAATTACGTCAGGCGGTAACGTTATTAGCGGGTGTTGCGTTAAAAACTGACTCGCGCATATCGTAACCATGATAAGGTACGCGTAAATACTGCATGACGCTATTCGGTTTTCCGATATCTCTCTAATAACTGTGCCGGTCAGGCGCTGTGCACAATTTTACAGGCCATAAGTTGGCGTGTTATGTGCGCAAACTAGTAACCTAACTATTTTTAGTGCCCGATTCCGAAAGTTGGAACTACGAAAAACAATAAAGAAAAAACAAAGTTTATAATCTGTATAATCTGTGGTATTAGATAGAGCGAAAAAAAATCTATACGGTGGTATCTAATTTTTATCCATTATTGTGTAAATTCGCTAAAACGGATTTTTTAAAAATTCGCCTAAGATCAATACTGCCTTGGAAATCCATTTCACACTTTTATATGTCAGCAAGTTATTTTTTGTTTATTCTATTAAGTGTCAAATCTGGACGCACAAAAATTGTATATAGTCTGTCCAACGAGAAGATCCTTGACAGTGATAGATGTGTCTGTCATTTTAATTTCAAAGTAGTTTATTTTATTTTACAAAGAAATTTGTACAACAACAAGAAGTTTGTACAACTGGAACGCATAGCAGGAAATTAATATATATGTATTTAAAATTTGACTGACAAGTAACTTCAAAATATTGTGAAAAAAACTGTATAAAACTGAAAAAATGTAATCGAGTTATTTTATTTAATAAAAAACGGTATGTGTTAATACAAAACAAACAAAAACAAGACACCACATACCAAAAAATATAAAAAAGAACTATTTCTTACTTTCAAGCTTTATGAAACTTCCCGCATTTATGATTATATTATCAATATAACTTATGCACAAATACAAATTTGTAATATTCCGCAGGAATAAATAAAACAACATAAATAACACAAACTATTTTATTAATAATAACACCAAATTTTATACCTCACAGGTTGATTAATTAACTTTAATCTTAATTTTTTAAACCAGTACCTTTTGACATTATTTTTCTGCAGTACTAAAATCCATTATTTACCTATCGTGTGATGTCGATATTTTACAGCTACTCCAGTTTTTAGTATGTGTTTAGTATGGTCCTTCTACCATATTCGAGATGCACTTATCTACGACGAGATGGTATACGAACTTTATTGATAGTAACTTTATTGGTGTATCTGTATAAGACTTTCTGCCTGGGCAGCGAGTATTAACCATAAACTGTGCTCTGGGTTCTACAGTTAATTTTCACTCGATTTTTCCTCCACTTGACTTCAAAAGACACAAAACACACGTAATAACACGAATCAAAATGCATCATCTTCCAAAACGCAGGGTATTTGACAAAAGTTGTCACAAAATTATAACCTATAATTTGGCAAGACTTTGACAAACGTCAAAAATCTAAAGGCGAGTTCATACGCATCGGCGTCCGTTTGTCGTTCATCGTTCCGTCAAACCAATAAAATTCAAATACGATCTGTCATTTTTGAAATAAACCAATAAGACTGGTTAAAAACAACAAGTGACGATGCATGACGAATTTATATTTAAACCCATCCATAGTTAACTTAAAAATTATTAGAAACTTTTTTTAGTAAAATAAATAGATTGGTATAGGACGTCATCTGCTTTTCTTCTGTCATCGTCTGTCGAAATCTTACCTGAGAAAAAAAACAGAGTATAGTAGAGTTCAATACAGAACCTAAAATTTTATTCAAGAGCCAAGAATGCCACTCCAGACGTTCAAAGAATATCTTATTTGTGGTTTGGTTTCTCTAATTAAATGAGGATTTTCTTTTGCATAATAATGTGATTTTTTTCTGTTAAATGTGCCAGAATTTATAAATAAAGCTTCATCCGTCCATAATATTTTTCTTGAAAAAAGGGAGTTCTCTTGAATACTTTCCCGAAAATTTGCAAAATTGTAAACTCTCGTGATTACCAGCATGTAAAAAAATATATATCAATTTGGTACACATTTAAATTTAAAGTTGTGATATTTATGTTTTTTGATAATTTTCCATACATAAGAATCACTTATACAATACTCGCGACTTATTTTACAGCTAGAAATTTTCGGATTTATTTCAATCTGAGCTGGCACATTAATATAATTAAGCCTTTTAAAATATTGCCCTCGTGTTTTTTAAAACTACCAGCAACTGCTAAATTTCTTGAAATCCTTGAGAAAATAGTACGATGAGGCTGTGTCCTTTCGTAGGATACAATGTTCTATAAATTGCGGATGCTATATCGGAATTTCTATTAATTTCAAGTCAACATCATACATATCTCGTGCTTCCTCACTTGTGAACATTGTTGACTATTAATACCCTTTACATTATCTACTATAAATTTTTGTGTCCAAATTTGACACTTAATAGAGTCAACAAAAGTTAACTTGCTGTCATATAGAGATAAGTGTCAATTAGATTTCCAAAGCAGACTTGATCTTTTGTGCAAATTATTAAAAAATCTATTTTTTAGTGAATTTACATAATAATGAATAAAAATTAGATACCACCGTATAGAATATTTTTTGCTCTATCAAATAGCATAAAAATTCAAAAGGGCGGCCCTAAGAAAACAAAAACTTAACTATTGTTGTACGAAATCTAGAAAACTTAGAAATTTTCTGAAAACAACATTTAATTGGCCGAGGTCAAAAATATAAAACTACCAACTTACGTTGCAATAGATACAATAGTTGTAATACAATAAACGTAATTTCATTTTGTTGACATAAATCCGAAACAAATCAGATACCGGGGTTTCCTTCAAAGGTGTTTGTCAAACTTCTAATTACGTAATTTTTGTCCCATTTAACCGAATTCGTATCTGTCGTAGTTTCTGAGATGCCAACGTTAAGCATTGAAATTGTCACCACCCTATATATCTAAAAAAACACAATAAATCTGAAAAGAATGCAGTGAATCAGACCGATAACCACCTCAAGATTCTAATATAACATGAATGTTTTTGGCTTGTTTTGTATGCTTAACGTCTACCCGGCACAATAAATAATATTTTTTTGTATGTTCTAGTTTCATACTTTTTTCTGGTGTAGAAACTCTCCACAACTTAAAAGACGAATTCTGCTCTTTGTGCCGTTTTTAGAACAGACGATCAGTGCCGAATTTCCACGGTGCAACTAGCGTTAATGAAGTTGTGAATTATGCAGGCGCCGCGCCGGCCGAAAGCGGTCTTTCTCTCTTTCTCGTTTTCCAGGACATTAAAAAAGATTTCATCCAATAGCGAGGCAGTAATTAGTAGAGCTACTTAAGCAGTTGGCCGCGCGTATATCTGAGAAAATGGGGCCGTCACAACCTCCGTAGCAAAGCTATTCATTTTGCGAATGGGGTGTTTGCCTTATTAAAGCCCGACAATGGCGCGAGGACTGTTTGGAGAAGGCCGTATGGAAAAAGTAATTATTATTTAGTGTTTGGCGGTGCAAAGGGAGTAAAGAGGAGGTTTTGATGGAGAGATGGAGTGTCTGGAAGTCTTAAATTGCATGTGGTAGTATTAAAACCTGCTCTAATTCATATTCATAAATCCTTGTTGTTAGTGTTCTTCTTCTTCTTCTTTTACTTATTTGAGATCTGTCGATCTGTCAGGTTTCCTCTGTAGGAGTTTTTCGGAGATGGACTGCCAACTGTATTTCCATCTTTTTGGAGGTCTTCTCGGCTGTCTCTTA